TCTATGCAGATATAAAATATTTTGAAGTCTATGTGGTCTTATACTTTCTAAAAAAGCTTCTTTTTCTCATTAATGAAAATAACCAGGCTAATTTTGAGAAACAGAGTCTGTGCTAAAGATTGTTTGGGAATATCAGAAGGGAGTCAAAGTGGGAGTTTTTTCAGTTGTTAGCTGAATAACTATAGTACTTGATTTTTGATCAAGAAACTCTTTACATTCCAGGTTGACAGATGTTTGGGGCAGAGGAAAGCAAAAATGCAAAGTTCTGCACAAGCAGTCTAATGTGTTTCTTATCAGTTTGTTCAGGTTTCATTTTCTTGATATATGCAATGTAGAGTCTTTCAGGAACATACAGGGTAAACTTTTGGTGTAAATATCAAAGCAGAAAGAAAATTTTAAAACTTCAAACTGACTTTCTGACCAATGAAACTAAGAAATGCAAACTAAATGTCTTATAAAACATAAAATGTTTTTCTGAAACATTTTCTTGCCATTTTTAAAACAACTCATTTAGCAAAAATGTGATTTGTATGCTTTTGTATCTTTGTAAATATTGAAAGCATGTTTGTAATGAAAATGACCTCCAACTTTGGGTTGTTCTTTTTTGAAAGATTTTATTGAATAAATACTGAAGATTTTTTCTAGAGTTATTGAGGCTTTTAATCTGAATGAGAAAATAGAAGTAGAAATAAAAGGTAGTACTCAGGTTAGCGCAGGAGCAACTTTTTCATTAAATGGTAATGAACATTCTCATGTGTCCTGGTTTCAGCTGGGATAGAGTTAATTTTCTTCCTAGTAGCTGGTGTAGTGCTGTGTTTTGGATTTAGTATCAGAATAATGTTGATTACACATGGATGTTTTCGTTGTTGCTAAGTAGTTTACACTGGTCAAGGACTTTTCAGCTTCCCATGCTCTGCCAGGTGCACAAGAAGCTGGGGGGGAGCACAGCCAGGACAGCTGACCCCGACTGACCAAAGGGCTCTTCCATACCGTATGATGTCATGCTCAGCACATAAAGCTGGGGGAAGAACAAGGAAGGGGGGAATGTTTGGAGCGATGGCGTTTGTCTTCCCAACTAACCATTAGTAACCATTAGTTTCTGTGCTGCTGTACTGGAAAGGCTGGAACTCCAGTGTGAACTCGAGTCGAAGGGACTGTGACCTGTGGATGAGGCCACATGGGAGCAGGACACCCTGAAGCGTCTGTGGATGTGGATAAGCCCATGCCAGAGCAGGTGTGTCTCGAAGCATCTGTGGCCATGGTTATGTCTGTGCCACAGCAGGTATACCTCTGCAGGGATTGTGGCCCAAGGATAAGTCCATGCTGGAGAAGGTACACCTCGAAGCATCTGTGGCTGTGGATAAGTCCATGCTGCAGCAGGTACACCTTGAAGCATCAGTGGGTGTGCATGAGGTCATGCTGGAGCACCTCAAAGCGTGTGGCCATGGATAAGCCCACGACAGAGCAGGTACATGCCTGGAGGGACTGCAGCCATGGGTCAGGCCATGTTGGAGTAGCTTTACTTCTGAAGAGACTGTGGCTGTGGGTAAGGCCATGCTGGAGCAAATATATCTCTGAAGTCATTGTGGCCCATGGAGAAGGCAACGCTGGAACAGGTGTACCTCAAAGCGACGGTGGCTGTGGATAAGTCTATGCCGCAGCAGGTTACCCCTGGAGAGACTGGGGCTCATCATAGATAAGGCTCCACTTGGACCAGGTAAACCCCTAAGTGACTGCAGTCTGTGGATAAGTCCAAGCCAGAGCAGGGGCAAGGGGAGGAGTCCATTGCAGTATTAAACCTGATGGTCTGGTCCAAAGGGGCCAGGGATGGAGATTGTAATGGAAATACCTGTAAATTATTGTAACCCATGATCTGAGTTGCATGTTATAGGAATTACTATAGCAGGAACCACCTGAACCAATGGAGGACAAGCCTTACAAGAAGCAGTGCAAGTACAGCAGTGACCCGACCTGAGCTGGCTTTGGTGCCCAATAACTCCACACACACACCACCTCTCCTAACCTGAGTGACTGCCATCATAGATTGAGCCCAAAGTAATGGACTAAATGAACTCAATGGACATTTTGTGGACATTTGTGGACATTTATGGACATTTTCAGACATTTCATAGAGGTGGTCCATAGACTAAGGGAATGATACCTGTGTATTGTATCAAAGGGTGGGAAGCGGGATGGTGGTTAATGAAGATGTATTGGATAGTGTGGGACCTGAGCATGACGTAAATGGTATGGAATAAGGGGTGGATACTGTCCTAGTTTCAGCTGGGATAGAGTTAATTTTCTTCCTAGTAGCTGGTGTAGTGCTGTGTTTTGGATTTAGTATCACAATAATGTTGATTACACATGGATGTTTTCGTTATTGATCAGTAGTGTTTACACTAGGTCAAGCACTTTCCAGCTTCTCATGCTCTGCCAGGTGCACAAGAAGCTGGGAGGGAGCACAGCTGGGACAGCTGCCCCAGACTGGCCAAAGGGCTATCCCACACTATATGACATCATGCTCAGTATATAAAGCTGGGTGAAGAAGAGGGAAGGGGGGGACATTCGGAGTGATGGTATTTGTCTTCCCAAGTAACCGTTACACGTGATGGAGCCCTGCTTTCCTGGAGATGGCTGACCACCTGCCTGCCGATGGGAAGTAGTGAATGAATTCCTCGTTTTGCTTTGCTTGCGTGCACAGCTTTTGCTTTACCTATGAAACTGTCTTTATCTCAGCCCATGAGTTTTCTCTCTTTTACCCTTCCAATTCCCTCCCCCATCCCACCAGTGGGGAGTGAGTGAGTGGCTGTGTGGTGCTTAGCTGCCGCTGGGGTTAAACCACAACATCATGTGTGTTGTCTTTGCCTTAATGTAGGAAGGAAATTAAGTGAGCCTATTAAATATGTAAGTGCTTATAGTTGCAGTTTTTCTCACTTGGAAAACTAATGGATATTTTCCCAGTCAAGTTTTTTTCCTTTATTCTGAAAAAGCTTACTTTCTTCATTAACATACTGTGGCTGGCTGGATACTGGACTCACTTGCTAAATTTCTAATTGAAACATGCAGGTTTAAAGAAAATTTCTAATGCATGCAGGACAGGAAAAATCACAGTCCATTAATATAATGAATTCTCCATATTCATCATATGTTCACTCTGTATGTTATGGTTGGCAGGCTGGAAGTCCTGACCTGTCTTGACTTTCTTGTTTCTGGCTTTGGGCTTTAAATTCCAAAACTTGCTGCTTTCTCAGCCTGAAGAGCATATTAACACAGTTGGTAAGCTTGTGATCTTTATATGCAGTTAGACTGGGATAAACTAAAGCTAGTATATTTAAATTACTCTAATTTTTGATCCATCATAGACTGTTCTGGTTGAGAATTTTCTCAGTCTGTCTTCTTCCCACTCCAGAGAATTACTGTCCATCCCACAGCTTTCTACACACCACTGGTGCTTGATGGTCCCCAACCAATAATTATCCGCAGACTCAAACAGGCAAACAGGGACTGAAGCACCTTTTTTTTTTCTCCAAAGTTTTAAATTGCTTTAGGAGGTGGCTTAAAATGAGCAGTAATGTATCAGCCCACAGGTGTTTGAAACTCAGAGAGAACTGGAGCTTTGCAGGTGGTTGTACACAAAGGCTGGCTTTGTGTACAGAGAAGGATGCGAGAGCACTGGTATGGGTGTCAAGGTGCTATGGGTGCGGGGGAATAGGCAAGTATACCTCTTGACCAGCTGACATTCCACTGGTTGGGGGCTCGGTGGGAGCTGGGTGGATTGAGCTCAAGAGAAACATCAACGCAGTGTTGGAAAAATAGAAGTGTTTAGTTTCTTCTTACTCATTCTTGTAACAAGCATATGGAATAGGGGAGATATACTTGGGAAGTAGACAGAGCCTTCCCCTGGGATGACAGGAGTGTACATTCTCTTAATTTATATTTTTACTCAAGATACAAGTTTTAAGAATTTCTACAGATATTTTTATTTCTTGTATGCAAGTTCCAGAAGCTTGATAAATCTTAAGATGATAATATTTTTGTCTGTGTAGATCAAATATAATTATTATAATCAGATACATCACATCATGAAACAGAAAACAGAGTTAGGAAATCATTCTAATTTGTTTAAGTCTTTTCTACTGAACTGTTCTTAAACAGCAGCTATGGGAAAAGTTTATCATTTGTTCTTGATTATTCTTCAGACTGTTCATTGACTATAAATTATGTAAGTGTATTCCCAGATGTACTGGAAAACCAAAGATTACCTCATCCAGCAATGACAGGTTGTAACTGTAAGCTTAACAGACGCTATAGGCTAATTTTCCAAAGCATTTCCTCCTATTTTTGGAAGAGTCAGTCTGCTAGAGATCCATTCTGTTAAGAACTTGGCTGTTGATAAGTATCTATGTTAAATATTACCTGTTTTTCTGAAACCTCCTGCAGATGGGTAAGATACATAATTCTGTTATCTCCTGAAGTGCATCTTTAACTGGGCTTAAGCTAAAAAATAACAGTATACATGCCATCCCCACGTCTGAGATTTAGGAAGGAAGAATGTTGTATTTATTACAAAGTATATGTAGAATTCTGTGGAGGTAGTATGCAATTGCTCTAATTCAGTCTTGGCTGGTATACCTGAATTTCTTGCTTGGAATGAGGGATGGGATATCTTTGTGGAGCCTGAAATTATTAAAAGAATGCTTATACTCTTAACACTTCATTTACTTCAACAGGCAAATATGTTTGCAGGTCATGGTCTGGAGTTTTGGAAGGTCCATCATTACCACTGAAAGCTGAGTTCCTATTGTAATTTAGATTGAGGGAGCACACCAAGCAAACCAAGCGACACAATGAAACAAGAATAGAAAAGAGGCAAAGATGGAAACACTGGGAAAAGGAAATATAAGAATAGAAATACTGGAGCAGAGCTGGAGTTGTGTAGAACTTTTTAATGTTAAATTATACTTACCAAGATATTAACAGCCAAACTTTTATTTCTACAGGAGGTTTATGGAGACTCATCTAAGAACAATTCCAAGTGATGCTTTTTCCAATCTCCCCAACATCTCTAGGATGTAAGTTCTCTTTCTGATATTATTCTTCTAGCTCCTTTATTAAAAATCACTTTCCTTCTCCAAAATTCTGTCTTTGTGTATAAAATCTTCTGAAATGAAAATATTCTTGCACCTTTGTTACCTCACCATTTACATTTTAGAACTGCAGGTTGTCATCCCATTGTTACAACCTGAACCAGCTATAGTAAGGCATACTAGGCATTTTTCAATAAGAGCGCACCTTTATTGAAGTAGATGTGGTAAATAAGGCTATAAAACTTTTTTTTCCCCCAGTTCACAAAATGTGTCAACGGTTTCATTTGTAAGAAATGAACATATTCTATTGATGGTCCTGGCTAAAAATTTGTTTCCAGCTCCCAGCATGATTCGTAACTTATTTCATTGGAGACCCTGTGGCATTTCTAGACTAGGGATGGACGTTCACCAATACATTAGTATTTGTGTGATGTGAGAGGAACTTCCATTGTGTCACTTCCTTTGTATGTAAACACATGCATGGATACAATCCGTAAATGCACAACCAGCAGCCTCTACCTATTTGCCTCATGTCAACATTTGTCCCATTGAAAGTAGCAGCCTTTGCACTGCACTGTTCATTGATGTCAGCAGTCTTGAGGCAAAGTTGTCCCACCTTTGTTTCTTCTTCTTGGTGGCTGGCCCATAATCTATCATCCTGTGCATGGCTATTTGATGCGGGGAACTTCTCTACCATCTTCCAATTCACTCCCTAGAATCAGAGTCATGTAATTTAGAAGGGACCTCAGGAGGCCTCTAGTCCACAACCTGCTCAAAGTTGGGCCAACTGTAATGTCCGACCAGATTGTTCAGGGCTTTAGCCAGTCTGGTGTTCAGCTTTATCTGTGTCCACTGTTAACTAAATAAACCACCTCATTCAGCAAGAGGCCCACATTTTTCTTGTTCAGCCTTTTATTGATAATGTAGCCCAGCCTTTTATTGATAATGTAGCCATAGGAGCTCTTCTTGTTGTCCTTGACATTCCTTGCAAGTCTCAACTGCTTTGGCTGAATGGCTGAGGTGGACTACTATTTAAGAATTCATGAAACAGGACTTTGCGGGGACGTGGAAGTCTGCCTAATTATATTTTATAGTTTCATCCAGGTGCATTGAAGTAATAACTTTCTAAAATCCTTATAAGTAATTGTTCTTGAATATCTGCAGCCTCATTTACCATCTCAGTTTAATCAGAGAGATGATGTATTGTTTGGGTTTTTTTTGCGGGGGCGGGGGGGGGGATGTCCCTCATATGATGTATAGTATCATATATAAACCTGATAAACTTTGTTCAAAGAGAGTTTTATTAAATGTAGAAGGATGTCAACTCGTCTTCAGCTTTCAGTGACACATAATCCATTGCTTAGATGCTTTTCAGATTGTAAAGTTCTCAAATTGTAATGTTTATGAATTTGTAAAAGCATAGGTGAACAGGTGAAAGCATAGATGAATAGGTACTTTTTACACATCTTAAGATAATATGTTGGCATCCATGTCAGTTTATTTGGTTTGTGATTTCAAGGCTACCTGGGAAAACAAATGTCAATATCTTCCCCAAATTATTCTTTAAAGAGAGTATCTGAATATGGAGTTTTACCTTCCCCTTACTCCACATTTATGTGTAGGAAAATAGCATAGATACATTTGAGTATAGCAGTAAGCTACCTAAAATCATGACCTGATGTAGTAGCGTTACACTCTCTCTCCTGCTGTGCAATGCCTTCTGGATTACCACATTTCTCTTTCTCTTGTGAAAAGCCTGTCAAGAATAGACAGTTGTTCAAATTTGAATAGTGTCAATGCCCTTCTGGATTTTTTCTTATAGCATTACTACTACTACAAATCATGAACTCCCACCTTCTTGATATAAACTTTGGGTTAAGGAGCCAGTACCTGTATTTTAACTACAGCTCTTACATATATGTCTTGGCCTCTAAGGTACCACGTGTCTCATTTGCCTCTCCCACCCCATAATTTCCATCAGCAATGAAAATTACCCAATCATTCCTTGCTTTGTAAACTCATCTAGAAAATGTTCTAAAGTTTCAATAGGGTGATAGAGACTGTGTTTACTGTTCCAAATATAGCACTTCGTTTTGCTGTCTGGTTTCTACCATGTAATTTCCATAAATAAACCTTTTTTTCCCTCTGTACTCATTAGAAAATTTAGTTGTTCTCCTTATGAACCTTGTTTAAACAAACATTTTAGAGCTACTATTTCTCTTAAATTAATGCATATCTGTGTACTCTTGATAGCCAGAAGTAGAGATTGTTTCCCTGTGCTGCTTTGCCACCGGAATGAAGCAAAAAGGATTTCAATGAAATGCTCAAGTGCAAAACTAATTCCTGTCAGAAATGCATCAGTGCACTGAAAAAAAAGGTTTTATAAGGTATTGAGATTCAAGAGAATTTTCTGGTTTACATCCTTAAAGTTGCAAATACATTAAATCTTGGTAGAAGTGCTTCACGTGGTATTTCCTACTGACTTAGGACAGGTTAAACATTCAGTATTTTTAAGGTCAAGGATAAGGAACCCATTTCCTGGGCTCAGGATGATGCTTTGGGGTCACATTCATAAGTACCTCACAGACACCTGACCTGTAGCTCCGTGAGCAGTTTTCTCCACAGCTTCTCCCCGCAAAGTTGCATCCCTGCATTGCAGTGTTCTCTGCCAGCAGCCCCATGCAGAGCATATTACCCCTTGAGCACTGTTTTCCTCTGTGCAACACAGTGCCTTTTCACGCCCTGTGCCCACTGCTGTCCCACAGCCAGTGCCACCACATGGTTCCCTACAGCTAGCATGCACTGCACCACAG